GGCTGGGGGTTTGCTCACAGCCGCTTGTCCTGCGGTGCCTCCCGATTTTCCTCAGCCGTGTCCATCCGAGCATCCCCTGTGCTCCGGCGCTGCCTCCTCTGCGGAGCGTGGCAGGACGAGCTCGGGCAGCCTGTGCTGCTCCTCTGTGCAAGCAGCTCCATCTCTCAGCGCTGAAGCTCCTTCAAGGTGCTTCTCCCTCCCTGTGCAAATCGCTGCTCCTGCTCTCCCAGTTATCTTAAGACCTTATTCCCGGTCTGTGGCACTTGAAGGCTGTTGGACTCCCTCGTCCTTTCTCCCGCGGCTCTGTGCTGGGCAGGAGAATCCAGAGCTCTGAGAACATCTGTGTTGTTTCAGTGTGTGCTCTGCATGGACCTCAGGCTTTGGGGTCTTTGGTTGGCTTTGAGTACAGCCTGGTTTCTCTAAGAGCAGTGCTCTGCTCGTCTGGCGTTGACTTGGCCACCTGCCTTTTGAGAAGTTTGAAAATTTCATTTAAATCTCTCTCTTAATTTCTTAGCCCTCTTGGTGATTCCTCAGATCTCTTTCCCAGTCCCAGATGTTTGATGCTGGAGCCGAATCTGTTTGTACTCAGTTTTCTGTCTTAGCACCACTTTTTTCTGTGGTCTTCTCCTCAGTTATCAGTGGTAAAAACCTGTGGTCAAAGACTTGATCCTTTGGCCTTGCTGCCGCTCAGCTTTGTGAGCAGCTGCCTGTTCCCAGAGGTCCTGGAGCTGGTGCTGTGCCAGGACACGCTCTCCGCGGCCGTTGGGTGACGGTGGCAGTGGGATCTGCAGTCCATGGGCTGCCCTGTGCAGACCATGCCCCGCGGGGCCGGCCCAGCTGCGCTCGCTGTGCTCGTGCCCAGCTGATCCCCATCACCTCTCAGGCCAATGGCAGGATGTGCTCAGCCTGTTGCAGGTTTCTCTCCGGGCTGGCCTTGGCCCTCGGCTCCTTGCAGGGAGCTGCTGGCTCAGTCTGGCGGTGCCGGCTCCCGCCCGCGAGGACGCGGCTCCTGCGCGTGAGTGTCCGCGGGCTGCGCGTGCTGCTCTCCGCGGCCGTTAGCACCGCTCCGTTGGGGTTTCTTGCGTCAGGCACCTGGGATCCTCCTCCCCAGCAGTCCCTTGTCTCTGGGCGCTGCAGGGTGCGGAACCCTGGGTGCTTCCAGCCGGCTGGAGAGAAGCGGCGGCGGCAGCAGGCAGCGCGGTGCTCGCTGCGCAGGGTCACCCTCCGACCGTGTAGCTGTGCTGAGGGTTCCCCAGGGACCCACCGGTGTAGGCGGGCAGGTTGTGGCCCGTGGAGTCTCATGGGATGTCAGAACGGTCCTCCATGGGCCAGCCCGTCCACGTGGGCACCCGCTCGTGGTGCCGTTTGTGGCCTTTGGGTGGCCTGAAGAGCCACCCTCTCCTTTTGCGTCTGGGGAACAGTGCAAACATTGTGGCCCTTCCCTCTGCTGCCTGGATGCCTCCTGGCAGGTGGTCCTTCCCTGGGAGCCCTGGAAGCGGCATTGCAGGGTCTGGCTTCCCCAGGGGAATGGAACGCGCAGCCGGACACGGCGCAAACCCCGCGCGGTTGGTGGACGGTCGCGCTGCAGTGTCTGTGCGCCAGGCTGGCAGGAGTGTGCACCTCCGCTGCCGCCGTCCTGGGGAGCTGAGAAACAGCCCTGGGGAGCGGGGAATGGTGAGGAAAGGAGCGCTGAAACATGCGTAGTTCAGTTTGCTGCAGAGTCCGAGGAACATGAGCAGCTGTTGCGCTGTGTTTGCAGTGCATGTACCAAACCCTGTACATTAACAGTAGTCGTTTAGTAAATAGGTCGATATAATTTACACGGGAATGCTTTTCTTTTTTTGAATTACAATGGCACGTTAGATTTTCAGTGGAAATCCCTGTTTTGCTGCATCAGGAGCCCTGCTGAGCAGTCATTACCGTGGCAGCCCCGGCAGGCGTTAGTGCCGGAGGGCTGGAGCGGGTCAGGAAGGGCCGGCCGGGGCGCAGGGAGCGCGCGGGGGGCGACGCGCTGCCCGGACGGGCTGCCCGGAGCTGCCCCAACCGCGCCGGGGCTCAGCTCATTTAGAGGCTGCTTGTGCCCTTTCATATTCTGGTGATTACAGAGCAATCCCCAGGTTTCATAAGAGCTCCAACGACGTTATTACAGCAATTACCGCGTTGCTTCATGCTCAAACGCCTTTACTATTGCGTTTAGCAATACAAGCTGCGCATTTACACCTTTACTTTTAACGCCTATTGGGCCTCCTGGATGATGTAGGAGACTCGCTTTTTCCCCCATTAAACGTGGGGGAAGGCTGGCGTGGGGCCGGGGGCCGCAGAGGCGCCCAAGTCGCTGCCCGCTCGGCCGGGCTCGGCGCCTCTCCAGCGTGGTTTATTCTGAACGCCGCTTTGAGGGCCCCTCTGGAGGGGAAAACAGGAGGAGGGGGTTAAATAGGAGTTGGCATAAACTTTATTTCCTCCTTCCCGGTCGCTGGGTTCCCCAGCAGTGGGTCGAGGGGGAACCCGCTGGGGTTGGCACCTTGGTGACGCTGCACCCTGTTCTGGTGCGTTTTGGCCGGGTCTCTGCACCGTGAGATCCGTGCGGTTTTGTGCCTTCGTGTGTGTAGCCCCTTGGGTGCTCTGCTTGGCTTTCCCAGCTCCTGCTTATGATGCAAATCGTTATTCTGCATTTGTGGTTAAGCGGCACATAGCTGTAAGCTAGCAGACGGTTAGCAGGAGTCAGAGGCCTGGCAGATTTGATAATAGTGGTTTGTGCTGCTGTGCCTGAAAGTCAGGACAAATCTGTCATTTAGAAACCGTCTGGAGGCATTTGGGAATGAAATTGCCATCTGTCTCTTTGAAGAGGTACCATCCAGCGTGAAATCTGGAGGAATGGATGGTGGAAGTGTTAAGCAAATGTATCACACACTTCCTTTTTCAAAAAATAAATAAATACCAAAAATACCTGCTGGCCTTTGTACGTGCAGACGAGCTGCGTTTCTGAGAAGCCCGAGGCGGGCCCTGTGGAAGTGGTGGGTGCCCGTGGTCAGCGCGAGGGAGCTGCAGCTGCCCCCGGCCACGGTGCCCACAGCGGGGCCCGCGCGTTGGGGC